TTTTGGTGCAAGAAGAACGCTCGCTCAACGAAAAGCATAGTATAGATGAACACTGGCATCGCGGGACGTGTAGCATTGAGAAAGGTAGGAAGCTGAAATCGAAAAATGGAGGTTTGATTATCAATGTAGTTTGGCCTGTCGTACGTCGGTGACTAATGACCAAAAATCAATATAATTAAATAGCGACTTTGTACATTTAAAGGTTAAATAAAATTTTGACGTTTCATAGCTCTTCATCGTAGAAAGAATAGGAAGAGTAACGGTTAAAAAGAGGATAAAAGAGTAGAATCGAAAGATCAACTGTATATGGAAGGCGGTAGGAATACGACGTAGAACGACGTAGAACGTTAGGAATACGACGTAGAACGACATAGAACGTTAGGAATACGACGTAGAACGTTAGGCAAGGTGGACATATGCGAGGGGGTAGAAAGCATAAGATAACATGGTAACGTATAAAATAGTAATAGCTCGATTAGAAATGATACGAAGATTTGTTGTGAAGTCCACCAGGAATAAGAGTATCAAGTTTTAAAATAATACATTTTTCGGCGTTTTATCGTTGAGTGTTGTTATTAGGTGCGTAGTACAGTTCAGTGATTTTCATGTTGATTAGTGTATGGTTATCTTTATTAAAATGAATGGAAACTGTGGCGTCCGTTCATCTTCTCTGGGTTCCTGAAGACGTACTTTCTCTAGCATGTGCAAAGCTCATTTGATTGATAAGAATGAGTTTGATGCATTTTAGCAGGACTTGACTTTTTTTGGAAAAAAGATGGATTCCTGTGCTTTTTTGCACACTTTAGCACAATGGTGGACCCTGCAATGGATAACAGGCTAAGCTCGATACATTGCCAATACAATTTATTTATTTTTCATACATTTTTATTATAAATTCAAGTTCTATATGGTTGATCGTCAAATAAAAAGATCTAAATTATGATTACTTTCGATCACTACATCATAAACATAAATGATTGATCCTCAGATAGATAAAGAGATCTGATTTATGATTACTTCCGATCACTACGTCATAAACATATATGGTTAATCGTCAAATAAAGAGATATGATTGACAATCACTTTCGATCACTACGTCATAAACATAAATGATTGATCCTCAGAAAGATAAAGAGATCTGATTTATGATTATTTCCGATCTCTACGTCATAAACATATATGGTTAATCGTCAAATAAAGAGATATGATTGACAATCACTTTCGATCACTACGTCATAAACATAAATGATTGATCCTCAGAAAGATAAAGAGATCTGATTTATGATTATTTCCGATCACTACGTCATAAACATATATGGTTAATCGTCAAATAAAGGGATTTGATTGACAATCACTTTCGATCACTACGTCATAAACATAAATGATTGATCCTTAGATAGATAAAGAGATCTGATTTATGATTATTTCCGATCACTACGTCATAAACATATATGGTTAATCGTCAAATAAAGAGATATGATTGACAATCACTTTCGATCACTACGTCATAAACATAAATGATTGATCCTCAGAAAGATAAAGAGATCTGATTTATGATTATTTCCGATCACTACGTCATAAACATATATGGTTAATCGTCAAATAAAGAGATATGATTGACAATCACTTTCGATCACTACGTCATAAACATAAATGATTGATCCTCAGGTAGATAAAGAGATCTGATTTATGATTACTTCCGATCACTACGTCATAAACATTTATGGTTAATCGTCAAATAAAGAGATATGATTGA